CACACGGCAAGTTAAATCGGGAGACTGGCATTTTAAAATGGCGACCGGCCGCAAATATGCTAATCAAGCATGGGATATTTAAATCGACATACTCTCAGTGCTGTGTGCTTTTACTTCTGTACTATCAATCTTTATCTCCTTCTCAGTTTTATGAAATATTAGTTCTTAATACTAGATGTATGTCTTAAACATGCATTTTTGTATTATATCTCCAAATTTTTTTATCTGATATGTCAGAGCTTTCACTTTTGGACTCCAATAAAGATCAAGAAATAAAGTTGCACACAAAATTTTGTACTTGTTGCTATATTTTGTGGTTATGCACACAAATTCTCCTATTCTTTCTTCTATTTGTTATAGGAATCTCTGTAAGTGCGTCTCATAGAATTTTAGGTATTTCCCCCTAACTTACAGTTTGAAGTCAACCTGAGCTCTTTCCATCATCATCATCAAAACAGAAAATTCCCGTCACAATATTTTTGACCAAAATGCCGGGGAAACGGACTGCTTTTTAGAAAAAAAAATTAGTGTTATATTTCCATTTCTGCAATTTCTTGGTATCTCCCTATGGTAGGCAATTTTCCAGTCCAGCTGCAGACTTGTCCATCGTTTCAGCTTTTTCTCTATGTGTTATCTGTTTCTCTTCTCAGTTAGTCAGCGACTAGCTTCCACATTTAGGTTGCTATTGCTTCTTAGAAGTCACAAAAGTTCACTCCTTCCGGAATTAATTAGAAAGTAACACAACACAACTCTCACCTATATTCTAGTCAGACACAAGAGCCTTCTTCAGCAATTTTTAGTCCTTATCTAAACACAGCTTCTAGTCCTCCTCCATTCTAATCAATTCTTCCCACTGTTAACAGGGTGGGGGTACCACCTCGTAAGATGGCAGTAGAGAGGCAATTGTGCCTACCCAATATTATATGTTTCTGGTCCTGGAACACTAAATCATTGGGCTCTCTGCCCCCTTTCCCCAAATGCCTAGTCTTTCTTTCCCAGGGCCTCTTCCTACATAACCAGCCTTGACCACCTCACTACTGCCTGATGCAGTGGTACAACCAATTTTTAAAGGAGCATCCCCTTGAACCTGAATGACTGTAGTCTGCCCTTATATCTCTCAATAGGTCTAGATGATCTTTGTGTCTGTCCCCTTTATCCTGGGAGGTGAGCTGTATCTGGCATAGGCTAAGCTGAATCCCAACCCTTTAAAGGGCCAGCACATCCTGCAATTTTCCCCCAACTGTCTGTATTTTTTCAGAAATAGTTAATGATTGCATTAGTTAATTTTTCCAGTACCTTAGAATGAATGTCTTCCAGCACAGTAATTTATGTAGGTTAATATTTCCCAAACTTTTCTTAAACTTTACTTTGTTCTTAGATTAATACTATTTCTAAAGATGAAATTCTCTATTCAGTTATAAAACTGGCAAAGCCGGGCAGCAGATTCTTGACAACTAATGCAGTTTAATTCTGTTCCAGAAAAGATAAACTCTCTAGGGATAAGGACACAAAAGTCATTTAAAAAATGTAATACAGTCTCCAAGCCCATTCAATCCATGGCCTCTTTGTTGAGGCCACCATGGTGTGTGTTAATTATTTTCATGTGTAGTGATGGTTTATGTGTTCTGAACCTCTCTCAACTTGAATTGAATTAATTTTAAACATTGGACTGCTTACTGGTAACACTGAGTTAAGCCGTGCTTGGCCTCAGATGGATTGAAACCTGTAGCTAAGAGATGAAAGCAAATATATTCAATCACTAATCTCCTTGGCCATAAAGTCTTACTGTCACTGGTCTATCTCAATCTTGTCATCACACATCATTTTATATATAGAAGAGAAAGACAGGTCCTTATTCAGGAAAATAAAGGGATCAAGCCCAAACATGTGCAAACATAATTGCATGTAAATATAAACAGGTTTTTCACATGGGTGAAGATTCTTGTGCTGCCACAATCAAGGCTAACCATTTCTGAAACTAGCTCTGCAGCTCTTACATAACCAATCAATTAGCAAACATGCTTGTCAAGAGCTAGCACTAATGAGCATGATGAAGGAAATAATGTTTTCATTAGGAAATATTTCTGTCAAACCCTGTTAACATACCACAGCATAAGAAGTGACTTCTTCTGCAGGAAAAAAATCCCCAACAAAACCAAAACAAAAATCCACCCAGAAATTTAGGCCATATGTACACATGATACCATACTTTCATCCAATATGTAAACATATAAAATGTCCAAGAAGGATGTTTCATGAACAGCTCTATACACCATGATATTTTCCTCACCAGTTTCCAGAACATTTAACATACAACATTTCTCTCTCCTTAATGTTTGTTTTGCCCATGCTTCGGCAGTGGTATACACCCCGTTGACGAGAAAAATACTTGGTGGTACTGACAGACACTTGGGCCCAAACCCAATCTCTAGCTGAGCTCACTATGTATGCTATGTTTGCCTATTTTAAACAGCTATTTTTAATCAGATTTTTTTGCCAACAAATCATAGAATGCTGGTCTACACTAGGGAGCAATTTCAAAATAACACCCTTTATTTCAAAATAATAAGCAGAGTGTCCATACTACCAAGCCCGTTATTTCAAAATAACAGGCTGGTTATTTCAAAATCTGTACTCCTGCTTTCCTCAGAGAATAACACTTATTTTGAAATTGTAATTTCAAAATAGCATTAGTATGGATGATCCAGTGTGGCTAATTCAAAGTAATTTGCCTCCAGAGGTCTCTGACAGGTGCACTTGTGACCACTCTAGCTACACCTGCCATTTCCACTGTTCCCCTTTTCCTGCAGAGCTCAAAACTACAGGCAACAGGAGAAGGGCTTGTACCACGTAGAGAACTTTGCCAGCCTCATGCCATACAGCATCATCCCAGAAGCCATGCTAGACCCCAATGCTCCCTCAGACCGTCCTATGTCTATTAGCACACCGGCTGCTCCCTTGGCTGCCATTGGCTATGGATGCAAGAGAACTCTGGCCTGGACTGGTTCAGAGATCCTGGACCTCCTGGGGGAGAAGACCAACCTCCGTGATGTCTGCACCAGAAAGCAAAATGCAGATGTCTATGGCCAGATCACCACCAGCCTGGCAGACAAAGGCCGCACCTAGACCCTGGAGCAGGTCCAGATGAAGATTAAGGAGCAGGCCTATGACAAGACCAGGAAGCAGAGTGGAGGGTCTGGGGCAGCACTACACACATGGCAGCTACTACAAGCAGCTAGATGCCATCCTGGGAGGGGGGTAGTGGTTACCTCCTCCCTGTCATCATCAAGTCCAGCCAGGATACGCCCAGCATCAGACTCCACGAGGGCAGGGTTGTGGATGAGAAGGAGGAGGAGCAGGCCAGCTAGGACACCATACCTGCCAACCAGGCACTGATCCTCAGCCTAGTCCCCCACTCCCAGGTTGTCTCCCAGACCTCGGATGATCCCGGGGAAGGCACTACAGGTACATTCTATAATTTTCTTCTATCCCTGCCCACTGGATGAGGGGGTAGGAACTAGGCTATGAAGGGCTGTGCACTCCTAGCTCAGTCTGGGGTCACACAACAGCCTGAGCAGGTGTGTGCACATGGAGCGTTCAGGCCCCTGACACTCTCATACAGGAAAAGGGAGTTACTCACCTCATGAAGTAATGAGTGTTCTTTCAGATATGTGTCCCCGTGGGTGCTCCACTGTAGGTGAAGGGTTGCCCTGAGCCACAGATCGGAGCTTTGTATAGCAGTTTCCCCTGTTGAGCCACGCATGCCCAGGAAGCGTCTCGAGCCCTTCCTGCCTCCTGAGGAGCATGGCTCAATCCCCTCCCTTTCAGTTCCTCATCTCCGCCCGAGAATTTTGACTCCGAGCAGAGGGGAGGTAGGGAGGGTCGTGGAGCACCCACGGGGGGGGACATCTCGAAGAACACTTGTTACTGCATGAGGTGAGTAACTCCCTTTTCTTCTTCGAGTAGTGTCCCTGTGGGT